ATAAATACATCTCTTAAAAAATATATTAACTTTATGGTGCCAAGTATAGTGAATACTTCTTCTCTTGAATGCCCTTTTACTCACATTCAACAAGTTCTCCATGAATGCCTGCTCTCTTGGCTTCCCATGTGTGGCATTTGTCTGGCTTTCTGAACTCTTCACTTTCAAATCACCTGGAATGCTTACCCTCTAAATTTGGAGTTCCCTAGATGAAACCTTTACTTGGGCTTGTATCATATTTGTATGCTAACGACTCTGTCAATTTTCTCTTCCATCATCTACTCTCATCTCTAACCATCTGATTTCCACTACTCTACTATAATTTCTAAAGGGTATCTAGTATGGTATCTTCAAACATTATCAGAGGTGGCCAAATCATACCTAAATCATGACACCCCCTCCCCCCTACAAAGATCTCTAAGTCCTAATCCTTAGAACTGTGAACATGTTAACTTACATGACAGAATAGGCTTTGTAGTTGTGATTCCCAAGAAAAATCTTGAGGTGGGAAGCTTCTCCTGGGCTGTCATTTTGGGAAACCCAATAATCTAAAGGGTCTGGATAAGAGGGAGGCAAGAACAAAGCCAGATTAGGTGATTTGACTATGAAAATTGAGGGAAAAAAGAGGATTTGATGTAGGGGCCACAAGTCAAGAAATGAGGACAGTCTCTGGAAGTTGGGGGAAGGTAGGAAACATTCCGCCTGGAGTCTCCAGAAGGAAATAGTCCTAGTCACACTTTGACACACTTTGAGACTGATTTTGGATTTCTGACCTTGAGAAGTTAATAGCTATTGCTTAAAGCCACTAAGTATGTGGGAGTTTGTTATAGCATCAACCAGAATGAAATCCGGTGTTAATGTCTGTTTTTCATCCATCTGCGACTTGTTCCTTTGCAGTCTAAACTAATTCAGTAAATGACACCATTATCTACTCCGTTGTTCAAAAAAAAGGAATCACCACCGATTCTTCTTTTTTCCTTCACATCTTCCTCCAATTTGTCACTAAGAATAATACCTCAAATCTGTATATCCCTCTTTTCTCCTTTCTCTAAGTCATTATCATGTCTTTTCCCAAGGACTTGAATGACATTCCAAACATGCTTTTTAAAGAAAGTTTAACACACATGAAAAATAAAGAAAATAGTATAATGATCCCTTTTCACTCAATATTGTTATAATAGTGGTCAGTATAGAGTGATTTTTCTTCTCTTCATCCCTCCCTTTTTCTCCCTGGAATATTTTAAAGTAAATTCTATATGTCACCTCTTTTCATGCACAAACACTTCATTATGCATTTCTGGTGAGAACATCTTAAAAACAATCTCATTGACATTGTCATACCTAAAAAATAAAAAAAAATAATTTTCAATATTTTGATGCAATTCATATTTGAATGGACTTACTGTCTCAAGTACGATTTTTGTAGATGGTTTGCTTGAGTCAGATCCAGCTAGGTATTCATATTGCATTCAGTTGTTATGGTTTTTAAAGCTTTTTTTACTTTATCATGTCACCCCCACTCTATATAATCACTGCTTTATATACGCCATTGATTCGTTGGGGAAATTAGGCCACTGGTTTTCTGTAAAATTCTCACATTCTAAATTTGTCTGATTGCTTCTTCATGGTATGTTTAACTTTTCTTCCACTCCTTGTATTTCATGTGAATTTAGAGGCCGGACTAGATTCAGGTTCAAGATTTTAGGCACATATACTTTCTTTTGTATTCATCATGTTTTAATATACATTGCAAGTGGTTTTCTCACTTGTAGTCATTGATGCAACTGGTAAGTTCTAAGCATGTCAGCCTGATTTCTTCATTATAAAATAATTCATGAACCATTTTCCTCCTAGTTTTAGGAGCAGTGAATGATCATTGGAGAGACCCATTATTTTTCACTATGGGTTGCAAAATATTTGTTTTTCTAATTCTGTTATCCCTACTGCTTTATTTGCTAGAATTCTAGAAACACAAACTTTCCTTTACTAACTATTGAGTATTCTGGCATGCAAGGTAGGAGGTTATTGTGAGTAATTGACCAGCAACCGGTTTGGTGACATGACTAAAGATAACAATGGCAGTGGTGATGAAGAATATATCAAAATTTATTTTGGCAGTTCAACTCTCAGCCATCATTTTGATGCACCGAAGAGCTAACACAAGGAGCTAAAGATGACCTCTAATTTTCTGGCTTGAATAACTAACTGGTGGGTTGATGGTAGAACACGCTGATAGGAAGTTCTGTGGCAGTCAGCTGTGGGAGAGGATGAGATAAGAAAGGAGGTAATATAGAAAGAGGGAGGGACTACATACTTGTGTGATAATTACTTTGGAGAGAAGAGGAGTTTCCCAGCCAACAAATGAACTTCCTAAAATTTTAGAAATGCAGGAAATATTTCAGCAAGTATCCAACCAGTTTACTATCAGAAAAACCTCATCTAGCAGCCTCACCATGTTACTGCACGGACGAGGCAGCATCAGCAAATGTTATTACAACAGCACATCAGTCCTAGAAGTAAAGGGTCTGTCAGTATTTCCATTATAAACTTCAATTTTCAGGGGCTTATAACTTGGCTATTTTAAGTCACATCAGGCTGAAACTTGCAAGCAATAAAACATTAAAAAAATAGATTTCATGCATTTTTTTGGTCAAGGTCTAGTTAACATAATGTCTAACTTATTTGAGATAAAGTAACTTAGAGTTAATATATTGTGAGAAAAATGTTTAATTAAAACCACTTTTTATTTTAAAGTTGCTGAAAATAATTACACTTTATAAGAATGTCACATTTTGTATGTATAGATTGGATGTAGATGGTCCACAAACTGAAGCAATTTTAACACATCAGAGCAGAACTTGGCATATGCATTGCAGCTTTGAACGAATTCCTTTCCAATAAAACTTGCTGTAAATTGGTTAAGGCTTTTTTTTTTTTTTAAAGTAACAATAACATGTTCAATTTTATTTTATAAATAGGTATTTATTTTTTTCACCACACAAAATTTGGTCTTGAAGTTATCGTTCAATTAAAAATATACATCTTCTCTTTGGGATGCAGAGTTTGGATTTCAGTTTAGTAATATAATTTTCTAACATATGAATGGCAAATTCCTCTGAGGCCTTTTGTAAAATCAGTGAAGCAGGAAACCTGCCTTAAAGTGTAGAGACAGTCTCTTCTCTTACAAGGAACAGGAAAAAAAAAAAAAGTCATAGAATTAAAAAAAAAAAATCAAATTCTACATAGCAGGCAAGGTAGAGCATGCAAAGATGAAAAAGAAGTGTGCCCTTCAGGGACAATACAAGGCGAGGAAACCCCGGGAAGGAGGGGGAAGCATTACATGGGGTGATGCAGAGAGGCCATCTGTCAGGGGAGATGAGGAAACACTGACAGGGAGGCAGAACTGAAGCAGAGCCTGCAGGGTTGTACATTTCCTGGGAAAGGGAACAGACAGTCAGGGAGCCAGGAAGAGCCAAGGAAAGGAGCGTGGTGCTTTCTAGGATGGTGCCGCCAATCACCTTCACACAGATGTTGCCTTCTGTGCCTGCTGGAAGCATTTCTGAAAAGTCTGTGTGCGCCTGCACCTGCTTGTACACTTATTCACTCCTGTGCCCCAGTTTTGTATGCATAAATAAGTAAATCTTTAAAACACACACATATTAATTAAATAGGGTAAGTTAGTTGAATGCAAAATGGAGCCCGTTGGATTTTTTGATAAACAAATTTGAATCCTAAGAAGAAACTCTTAACGTTGGAGAAAATTTGCTCATAGATTATTATAGTGACAAAAATATTCCACAGGAAATTGATGTCATGAATGATTTTTCTGTAGACCTAAAAAAAAAAAAATGGCATGGCAAGCATAACCCAAATAACTCAGTACATAGAAAATGCTTGTCCCATTTGAGTTGGGGAGTTTCATCTCAGTTATAATCTCATTTTTAAAAAAGATTTTATTTATGTATGCATATAAGAACTGGGGTGTAGGCCAGAGGTCTAGGGGGTAGAGGACTCATCAGAGCCAGACTGGGGTTCAGAACAGGTAGATCCACTAAAATGCAATGCTGAGGGGAAAAGCAGGCATTTCAGGAGAGTTCTGCTGTACCATGTGGGCTAGCTCCTTGGCTGAGGATGGAACTCATGCTGCAGTGACTGGCTGAGACATTAACCCCTGTGCCACCAGGGAGGCCCCTTTGGTTACAATCTCATTAACGAGAGTTTGTATGTGCAGAAATAAAGTACATAAAATGCATTTACTCACAGATGTAAAATATAAGTTCAATTTTATTTTGAAATTTTGTTTCTGGCAAATAGTATTGCATATTATTTGGGTCAATTATCTAAGAGCTTTAGTTTTCCAGGGTTATTTCAAAACTTTTAAAAATTTATAAACTTATCTGAAAGTTAGGATAGTATTTGTAAATCTAAAGAATAACTGTAAAAATTAGAATAAATTTTAAAATGTTAATATTGATAATAAAAAATAATGATTGCAAACATATACCAGCATCGAATCTATGCTAAAACATTCATGACCATAAAATGGAGACAAGATTGTCTCTGTAACAAATGGTGCTGCGGCCTCCCTAGTGGCACAGGGGTTATCAAGTCTCAGGAATATCAAGATTCAGGCATTGCAGTAGAAACTCCATCCCCAGCAGGGAGCTAACCCACATATGGCATAGCAGACCCATCTCGTCTTGCCTGCTCCCCTCAGCGTGTATTTCAGTAGATCTGTCTGTTTCTGCTCAGCACTTTTGTCTCTGGTGAATCCTCTCACACAACTCCCTCCTCCACCTCTGCCCTACACCCCAGTGCTTGTATGCATAAATAAAATTAAAATAATTTAAAAAGAAAGTGGTGCTGGGAACATTGGAAAGCCAAACATAAAAGAATGAAGTTGAATTACTTGCTAACACAATACACAAAAACAAATTCCAAATGTACTAAATAAAAAATAAAAAATTATTCCTCATAAACACACACATAAACTTTTGGGATGGCAACATTGAAGAACACATTATTATTATTCAGAGATATCTACATAAGGGAAATTATAAAGCAAAGCAGGGAATAGTCACCCCAAATGATGCTGCCTTTTATGGTTCTTAACTGGAAAAAAACCAAAACATCAATCCCTTAATTTAAGAGAATAGTAAATGTCAGACTGTCTCTAAATAATTATTACCCATCATTAAAAAGACTGCATTAGAATTGACTTAGACAGGAAGAAAGCTGATGTGAACCAATGTATTTCTGAATCAAAACACTTGTTTCTGGACTTTAATATGTTGATAGATTTGTTTATATTGCCAGTCACACTGTTAGATTCTTTTCTTTCTCAGACATTTTGTCTCATCTCCTGTATCTGTCTTCTGAGTGTTTTTGAGTTTCTGAACTTTCGAAAACATTTTTTTTTAAACACTGATAGGTTGCCACCATTTCATTCTTAACAACATTTTGCTAAATAGTGTTGTATTCTCCTTTCTCAGGTTCTTCCATCTTGCAATGGCCAAACCCCTACAATAGCACTAATCTATGTAATTCATTAGGTATTGAATGGGTGAAGTGTTATAATGAGAAGTTGAGATGTTTATTACCCACTTAAGATTCAGTGCTTCAGGTCAGAGAACTTGTTCTATGCTTCTCGATACATTCAAAGTCAAAAATAGAACCTCACAAACAAGCATGGGAGAAACACTTCCTGATGACCATGATATCATAGATGATCTGGGCAGCTGCCATGCCTTCCTGGAGCACATCAACTGCTGGCTAAATATAGAGCTAAAGAGTATTGGGTGACTATACTCTTTAAAACTATATACAAAAATTATATTCATGTATTAGCTTGGTTTTGTCTGACTGGTTTGTTTCTCCATATTGCTCATTTGAACAAAACTGTATTTGTCTTTCTCCTCTGGCTTATTTTGCTTAGTATATTACCCTTGAGTTCCACCCGTATCACAATTGGGTTCATCTTTGTTTATTACTGAGTAGATTGTCACTAGGTTGCTTCCATACTTGACCATTATAAATGGTGCTGCGGTGAACATGGGAGTGCATATATCCTTTCTAATTAGAGTTAGTACTTTTGCATTTTGCAGGTAGATACCTAGGAGTGGAACTACTGGATTGGATGGTAGATTAATTTTTAAAAGTTTGAGAAATCTCCACATTGCTTTCAATAGCAAATGGAACAGTTTGCATTCCGGCCAACAATACATGAGGATTTATTTCCACATCCTCGCCAACACTTGTTTCTGGACTTTAATATGAACCATTCTCACAGATTTGAGATGGTATCTCATTGTGGTTTTGATTTGCATTTCCCTAATACTAAGTGATGGGCGTTCTTCATGTACCTGTTGGACACCTGTGTGTCTTCTTTGCCTTATATTTATATGTACGTGTAGATTTATTTCTATATTAGGATACCTAATATATCCAAGTGAAGATGACAATTAAGCAATTATATGAGCCCTTAACATTTAGATAGTACATTGTTTAAAGTAGTGGGACTGACAGATCACTTAAAGAGAGAATTGAAAGAAGAGAAAGTTAAGTATAATTTAGTAATAAAAAACTGCAAACCACTATCTATAGAGACTAGTTGAATAAATTATGGGTGATGTATACTATACATTTTCATATTTCTATTAATAAGATTAATGTATACACACACATACACATACATTGGCTTCATAGGCCATTCAGTATATCTATTTTAACCTGGAAAAACTGTATTTCAGAGTAAGAGAATACATTCACATTTTTATGCAATAAAATTTACAGAAATATGTTGTATAAGTTTTTGTGCTGGAGACATTCTAAATTATGAGGAATAGATTATTAACTTTTCCTTTCTAAACACTAAATTTGTATTTTATTCATGCAACTTTAAAAAATCTAGTGAAAAATGGACATAGAGAAATGTGTCTAACTATTCAGCAAGGAAGGGAACTTGGAAAGCATCTTCATGACAGTGGCAGGAGCCTACCAGGTTGCACTTACACCCCTTTCTATCCTTTACTTATTTGTATAGTATCTCCTTCCCCAGTATTTTTGCTTTCAACCTGCATTGCAAGGCTCACCTAGGGGGTGCTGTCCATAGACCATGGAAATTGCTGTGTCTGCCCAGGTGAGAGCTGGAGAGTCCTAGAAATTTGCCTTCCCTGGGCAGCCACTAACCCGAGTCTGATGGCTAAGGTAAGTGCAGAGCCCCGCTTACCTAATCGGAGACATTCAGAATTAGGAACTATGCTGTCTCCTTAAGTGTCTCTGCAGGACTGAGCCAAATTCCCTACCTTAACACTTGGTTTGATACCACTTTTACTACTGAGCCTGGTCTCCTTCCCTTCTCAGTCTCACCTGCCTGATAAACACATTTACATGTATACTTGTGTGAAGGTCTGTTTCTGGGGATCCTGCCTAACACAACGGCCAGTCTGTTTTCGGTGCAAAGAGATGCCACCCTAACTCCAGACAGCCCAGGCATCCTGGGCAGGGAAAGTAGTGCAGGAGGCGTCAGGCTCTGCGCTCACTCTCATGGGGCCCTTGGACAATTCAACAAACTCCTTCATGTCTTTGTCACCCATGGGACCATTTTCAAAAATTAAGATAATGTACTTAAAGTGCATCTAGCACATTAAGCATTCAATGGCTTTTAAAAAATAACAACATTGCTTTTATGTAAGTATTGCCACTCTGTCTTTATATATACTGTTACATTTCTAACAGGAGGAGGAGTTTCCCTAGATTGAAATATCTAATAGATACGAAGTCTTCCTTAGGATAAAAGCTGCTCTTTACAGAACAATATTTTATTATGTATAACTCATAAGTAAACAATCATTGACTTAACGGACTTTGCACAGTATGATGAATATACCATTTTTGTATAAAAACGTTCCACATGACGAGAAGTAGCTGGTACATTAGAATATCATTTAGCTTAGTTTCAGCAAATGCTATTTTCACTAATCAAACCTAAGAATATCATGTCATAATATAAATCGGAAAATGAATCAAAAAATAAAAAACTGTATCTCTCTAAAAACACATCAATTTTTTAGCTCTGACTATTATGTATACCATTTTAATGTCTTAAGTAACATCCCTATTTATGGGCTGGTGTAATCACCACATCCTTCATTGGTCTAGTTTTGCTGTTAAGAACTTTGTTAGAGTAACTCAACTGCTTTATCTCCTATTTGGATAATGTGTTATCCTGAAGCCCATTTTTCTTGGATTTACTTCTATAGATTTACATGAAATTAATTTATATGTGAATTTATCTTATAATAATGTCTAGGTTCTATAATCTCCATTTAGGGTTCAAGTAAAGAAAGCTAGCTAGAATTTTATTTATTACAAATGGCACTTTTCCTGGTAGTATTTCTAATTTTATTTCATATTAAAATTTGCTTGTTGTAATTGCTGTCATTCTCTCTGTTTTCCCCTAATTATCCTGACTAGAGTAAATTCTCAATTATGCAGGGACTATATTTAATCTGTGGATTTTCCAAATCCTCTTTTTAATTCTTTTTTTTTGTATATTGTAACCATTTAAATGTTTCCTATTTTTGTGTCATTCACCAGTTGATAAATAATAATAGCAGAGGTTCACATTAAAATAAACACCTTGGTATTTTAATAGAAATTCCTCATAAATGGCTTGATTGCAATGAGTGCATAAATATTAACTGTTTGTGGATCTTAATCCTTTCTCCATCATCACATATGCTTAAATGCTACAAGTCATTCTCAAATATACTAATTTTATCAGGAGCAAAGCTGCATTTTTTTTTTAAGGCCTAATGTCACCCCCACTCCATACTATCTATTCTGAAATTGCACATACTTGGGACAATGGAACTTGGAAATTTTATTCATGAATTTGAGATTAATAAATCCTTACATATAAGAATCTTTGAACAGGTTTGGAAATTAGGTTGGAAGAGAGGTTAAGAGTGGTGGTTTAACACTAGGTGCAAGTTGGAGACATGCGGTGAAAGAATTCACCAGAGGCTGAGTAGAGAACAGAAAACGGTAGGTTTATCGAATACACTGATGAGAGGAGTAACCCACAAAAGGGCAGATGTTGTCTGCCCCAGGATTTGGGATTCTCCTTTAGAACTGGCTTTCTCAGGTTTTTTTCATGATGGGGGAAGTTGGCCTCTGTGGGTTGATAATCTGCTGAGAAGTGGGTTGGGGTGGGCCTTCTGCCCTGGAGGTGTCCTTCCTAGCTGTTTGTCCAGTCTCTGTATTCCGGGAAATCCTGCATAGACCCCTAATGGTGGTCTGGGCCAGTGGCAACACTCTCATGGCAACTTGAAAGTATCCCCTTCCTTCTCTCTAGATAGTCCCCCAGCATTGCTCGCCTAGACAAAGTTCAGGTACTAAGTTTAACTCTATGAAATGATAGCCTGGCATTAAGGGCAAAGTCATATATTATAAAAAGCAATTGTTTTTAATCAATCAAAAATGTATTTTTTATTTTGAGCCCACGACTTTTAAATCTAAGACCTCTAAATATGAGGTTGGCAAAATGTATGAACAGGGATCCTAATCTTTATTTGCTTCGCTTACTGTCTTCAGGTCTTTTTCGCACCAAGATGTTTGCTAAAGCTGTCTGGCTCTGGAAAACACCTAACTGTCCTCAACTCCTGCAGAACTTTTGAAGGTATTACGGAAAGTAACCTTGCAGGTATTTCAGCAAACATTTTAATACCAAAAGTATTTGAAGAGCAAAAAGCTACATAAATTCCAACAAGACATGTAATATTCATCATAATTGAGAAGGATCAATCAAGAAAAAAAAAAAACTCGGTATGCAAATAGAGCCAGATATATACTTAGTAAACACACAAGTGACCCATAAATTTGATTCAGCTTCAAATAGCTAATACAAGGAGGGTCATCTACCTAAAATACTATGTCCATTAGCTGAAATAAACGGCAATTTACAGGACATAGATTTATGAATTAACATCAGAGGATGTTTCTGGGAGGATCTATGTATGTGACAGTATTTTTGCACTTGGGAGAAATTTTAAGGATGGAATTGATGATGGCTGGCTCCTCATCATCCTTTGTTTTAGCAAAGATATGACTGAATTGGAAAAGTGGAATAAAGTGTTCCTAGGCTAAATAATGTATGCAAATTACTGGTATAGTGATTTTGTTTCCTTACTGTATCCTAACTCTTTGAGGGTAGGATTGGCTTTTAATCATAGTGCTTGTTAGAGGTGTTCATTAAAGAATTAAATGAATGCCTCTGCTCTTCCACACCAAGAACCAATAGCCATGAAGGCAATTACCTACCTTTGCTAATTTTTTCAGGATTCAGTTTCCTGGGAGGCTTCAGAAAGACATCACATTTGATCAGCTCTTAGGAAAAGGGTTCAGAGAGGTTTTCAGTGAATGTCTAATATTTGTCAACCTTAAGATGTGTATACTGGAAGTGGTTCTTCAAGGTCTATGAGACAGATCTGCGATGAAAATTTGTTTAACTGTTCCATGTTTCCATCATTCATTTAAACACTGCTTCATGCATTCCAGAGGCATGTAATTGTTTTTAAAATTAAAGCATGCAAGAATAAGATAATAAATACATTTTTGTTTGGGGTTAGGAATTGAAAGACTTGTGCTTAATTGCCAAAAATTAGATATATAACCTCAGCCTAATCCCTCTCTGTGTAAATGTTTTTTTGGTAGTATAAAGCGAAGAAAATGACCTATCCTCTCTAATACCTCCACCAACCCCGTTTTTCAGTCCATTATCATTTACTTTACTTTCTGGTTTATAATATGAATATATCTTTTTGGAATCTGCAACTATATTTTATTGGTTTATATCTTAAGTGCTTATCACAATGATGTTAGATTGTATACTCAGTAAAATGTCCATTGGCTTAGTGAGTTAATGGAAATATTTGGAAAATTTCACAGTGCTAAACAAATGTAAGCTATTAGAGGAAAGCAGGTAGAATTTCACCATGCTTTTCTTTCCTCAGGGTGACAGTTCTTCCAGTGGTCTCAAGGACACTAAGTAATCGGTACCAGTTTCTACAGGGATTGGTCAGCACCAGGATAGATGTCGGAGCATCTCACATTCTCATTCCTCTAGAAGTGTCTTCATTCCAAAGACCTTGGCCTTCCTCTGGGTCATCTGGGCTTCGGTGTCATACATCACTCTTCATACACAGCCATGCGGACGCTGTCAAACAAAACCTGTAAAAAAATAAAAATGCTAAATATTTATTCTATAGCATTTTGCATGTGGCCAGCTGCTCTAGGTTTGCCTATTACTTTTCTGTAATTACAACAGGTAAGAGTATCTGCACTCTTAAGGTGCCTGGCAGCATGTCCTTACATGTATTAACCCCATGTACCCTCATATTTCTATAGAGCTGGGACAATTGTTCTATTGGCAAAAATAAATAAAAATTGAGTATCTTGGCTAAAGCCATTCAGTGGAAAGTGGCGAAATGTATGTTCTGGCTTCAATGCAAGCTTTTAACCAATAAGCTATGCTGCCTCTTGACTAATTGTTTTAGGTGTTAGATTTTTATAGTAATTCATTTTTGGGAAACCATAACAGTAAGAATTTTAAAGCTTTTCCACCTAATTATGCAACACTTACCTTTCACTTCTACAGTTACCCAAAGACTAACTTTGCATTCTGTGTGCTCAATTTGGTAATGAGAACGCTACAGTACTCATATGTGTGTATATATAAAGTGTATATTGAAAGAATTGGATTTGGAAGAAAGTTTTCATCTGCCACACCAAAAGGATTGTCATAGCAAGTTCAGAAAACAAAAATCAGAAATCTACTCAAAATCATACACTAAAATTCTAAATAGATAAAATGTTCAGCTTAAGATATAGTTGACCTGAAATTAAGGAACTATTTTATACCACCAGCTGTATAAAATTTTATAGTCTGTTAACTCACTTGACATCAAATTGGTGACAACTCTTGCTTGCTAATTCAAGGGTTTTGTAAAGTAAATGAGTTTGTACTTGTATATTTCCCTTCATAATGGCAGATCTCAGATGTTAACATCAAATTTTAGCAAATTAGTTCTAGTATTTTTTCGCTATATGACGACTAAATGAGTGGAAAAATAAGCAAAACTGTTAGGATTTTTTCAGACCAGTTTTTCACACCTGTTACTATTAGCATACAAAAGCTACTATTATAAATCGTACATTAAACATAGTTGAATTACCCTGAAGTTATAATCCTAAGGGGTTGTAACACTTAAGAACTGACAGTGTGAAGAAGGCAGAAGCATTATAATTCAAACATTACACGAGACTTCTTATTTTGTCTATAAAAATAGAGAATGCCAATGTTTTATTTGCCATAGGGATGAGGGAAACATTGGTGAAATAAATTTGATAACATGACTCATACTTCATTACAAATGATTTTCCTAAATTCACAACTTTTACATTTGGCTGAGCTAAAAAGAAAAAAAAAATCACCCAACACTAAAAAAGGAACTTTCACTTGCTGTAAGTAGGCCAAGTCACATGATCCCTCTAAATGAGGGAGTTGAAATGAGTACACTTTTCTAGCTGGTAAAACAGTTTCCTTAATTTAGTGAATTAAATAATTCACCCATCGTGATGCTATGGGCAGGTTTAGAAATTTCCTTTTATAAGAATAAGAATTACACAATTTTTTCCTAATGTAACATACATGAATTTTTGTTTTTTTTTTTGGCTTAAGCTTAATAAACTACTTCACTCTTTCGAGTCTTTTTCTCTTGTATGAAACGTCTAGATTTCTTAGGTGTTTTCAGTTAGTCCTTTACTTAATGGAGTAACATGTTCACCAAGTTTAGCACCCTATGGAAGTAGTATGTCTAATTAATGACTGATTACAGGGTTATTTAAATTGCTTCCTCATTCTTCTCTGCCCCTTACCTCCCTCCCCGGCCCCTGAAAAGTAGCAAAGCTTATTTTTAAAACTATGACAGTGGGCTAGACTCTGCACCTGGAAAACGACAATATATGGCTCTAAAGTCATAGTGGAAATTTATGACATCTAACAACCCTTTTACCGGTTCTCCCGGGCTTCAAGCTTCAGACTCGGATAAGGTGTGAGCGAGTGACAGGGGTGTGCATGAAATCTTTATAAATTGTTATTTTCATTCGTGTATTTTTTCTTCCGTGAAACAAAAGAAAGAGAAATACAAGTGCTTGGAACAACACGCTTTTGAGGCTTAAAAGCCTATTACTAAACACGTTTCTGCGGTTGGAGGGTTCGGGATCACTTTTGAAATAAATCTCGCCAGAACACTCTCCTGGCAGGGAGACTGAAATCACTCTCCCTCCCCAGAAGCCCAGAGAGCAGAAGGAAAAGGAAGCTATCCCTCCCTTTTGCACGTGGATTTCCCTTTCCCCTGACCCCCCTAAGCCTCTACTAAGCGGGGCTGGCCGCCCGGGGAGGTAGCTGGGAGAAAAGGCACGCTCACTCCTCCATGGCAAAGTCTTTGGTCTTTTCCTCCTGGTCTCCCACTCTGTAGCGCAGCTGCACGCGCAGGAGCCGGTGGTCATCCCGAGAGGGCAGCAGCGTGATCTCTCCGGAAATGTCCGTATCTTGCTCCACTTGCACAGGCTCGTTCAGGTAGAGGAGTGCCTGCTTCCAGTGCGTGACCGGGTGGAAAGGCGAGGTGGACAGCACCAGGGGTTTCTCCGAGTCCCCTCCGGGGAAGGTCACCTGGAACCAGACGGCAAAGCCGTGCATGGGCGCCGAGCCGTAGCAACTGAAGCGGAAGCGCCCGCCCACCCCGGCTTCTAGCTCCTGCTCCAGGCCCGCGCGGGACAGATCGAGCTGAGCAAAGCGCTGCGGCCGGGCCAGCACATCCTCGCCCGACAGGCTCTCCACCATGATCTCCGAGCGGCCCATGAGGCAGCGCGTGGCGAAGCTCTCCAGGCAGCTCATGTCCACACCGTAGTTCTGTTTCACCTGGCTCCAGAAGCCCAGGCGCAACTCCAGCATCTGATCGCTGATGGGCGCCACGAAGAGCTCGGCGGAAGCAGGCAGGAGGAGACCGCCCTCCTTCAGCCACTTGGTCCGCGCGTGAAGCACGGAGCTCAGCATGGACTCGTGCAGGAGGCCATAGCCCATCCACTCGCTCACGATGGCGTCTACCTGCTCCGGCAACTCCACCGTCTCCACCGGCCCCGGCAGGACGTGCACCCGGTCCTCCAGCCCGTTGAGCCGCACCACCTCGCGGGCCTGCTGCCAGATGGCACTGGCCTCCACCGCGTAGACGCGCCGGGCGCCGGCCTGGGCACAGAAGATGCTAAGAATGCCGGTGCCCGCGCCCACGTCCAGCACCGTCTTGCCCCGCAGCGCTGCCCAGTTCCGCAGGATGGCCAGGCGGTAGGCGTCGGTGCGGACGCGGTCGGCGATCATCTCCTCGTGGACGGATACGTCCGAGTAGCACTCGTAGTACAGACGGTCGCGCTCCCGCTTGGTCCTCCGGGGTCGCGCCAGGGTCGCCTCCTGCTCTCCGCCATCTTCCTCCTCAGTTCCCTCCCCTCCTTCGCAGCCGCCCCCCGACTCCAGCTTTCTTTTCTTGGGCTGCGACATCTTGGCCGCTCAGGTCGGCTCCCGGCGGGCGTTGCGCGTCCTCGCGGGGACTTCTGGGACTTGTAGTGCGTTCTCGCGCTTCCCACGCCGGCTGGGTTTGGGGCGGGCGTGGCGGGAGACGTCGGAACCCACCTGTTGGGTCCTGGGATCCCTTTCCCACCCACGTTTTGTGACTCTGCCCTTTCCCCGTCCTTCCTGGGGCTAAAATACTTTTCGCTTTCTGTCCCTTCCCGAAAGTGGACACAGCAAAGACTAATTAATCTGCCTTTGTTTGTTTGCCTAACTCCCGGTTGTTTTTTTTTTTCCCACCTGGGCGGGACCTTTCACAGACCTTACCTGAACTGTTGCAACTCTTAAACTGTCCACTTAACGGAGATTTAAAAATCTCACTACACGTTTTTTCTTGACCGTTGTCAGTTGAGGTGGGGTGCAAGGGAGGTGTGTATTAAACTAAGTGAAAACCTGACCCAAGGTCATGCTTCTGATTCTAATGAGAGTCTGTGAACTTTGAAGTAGGGCGAATTACACAATTACTCTTTCCTTCAGTTACCCAGCCCCTACCTGCGGGAAGTGGATCAAAGACTTTTATTTCTGGTCTTTATTTTTAGTAGAATAGTTACTTGATTCAGTCTGGTTCTGGTAATTTTCTCGCTCCTTCCAGAGTTGAATTTTACAAGAGTTCAGGCTAACACACAGTGAAAGGTAATGGTGGTGTGATACAATGAAACCCACTTGTGGTTGGGTATATTTTGAGTAACCTATTAAAATTATATTCTCCAGAAATAACTGAGTTTTTCAGGCCTTGGGATCATTTCCCTCTGGGATTCACTTATTTATTCCTATTGTCTCCTTATCTGGGCAAGATTGTTTCTCCCCTCTCTCTTCCTCATCTGTTTTTCTTTCAGTCATATATCAGCTACTAATTT